TACCCATTCCCAATATCTCGTGACTTAGACCCCTTCCATTTCGTTTCTTGTAGACAGCATATATTTATTTCCCGTTCCTTAAGGATGGAACTTAGTTCGTTACTACGTCCCGTAAGAGATCCTACGTTCCATGTAGCCAATCTAATTTTAGATATTTTATTTTGCAATTTTTCAATTTTGTTCGAAATTTTGTTGTTTTTTCTCTTTCGAACACTTATGTTTACTAAACAAAATATAAGTTTTAAATAAAATTATTTACAGATACGTATAAGTAAACAATATGTAATTTTCACTTTTTGTTTAGGTATATTTTTTTCATTCAAATTATGGACTATAAATTTTTTTGATTAAAGTGTTTGACATAACCTATTCGGAATAAAATATCTATCTACTTAATCTGTAGTTTTCTTATTTAAACATAAAATATTATTAATTAATATTCTCTTATTTTACTATTTGAAACTATTTACTTAAAATGAGGGTCAAATTGTTTGAAATATTTTTTACATCTTGTTTTAAATCTAATTTTAAGGTTTTTGATTTAATATTTTCCTCTGGTTCTAGCATTATTTTACAATTTTATTATAAGCGACAATTTTCAAGCTAGAGAATTAGTGTTTTTGCACAAAAGAGACATTTTTAAGTGCTTATTTTTAGTTCAATAATTCAGAAGTTGTATTTTTTGATTTATGTCACCATTGGAGCAAATGATCTATATATTTTTTTTAAATTTTAGTAAGATTCCTTAATTATAGTACAATACTACGTAGGAAAATTTAATGTTAATAAAAATTTTAATTTAATGTCAATAAAATTTTTTGTTGATTTAGAAATTAAATTAATCATAATATATTTATAATTATTTTTAACAATTTTCTAAATACCCACATTTTTATTATCGTAAATTTTAATTCTATATGCACGTAAATTATTATAATAGTGAATACACACTGCAGTAACGATAAATGTAAATAACTACATATATACATATACAAATATAATGCATATGGAAGACATTGTAAATTACGATAGACATAAAACATTATATGTGTATGGATGTGCAAAAAAATTTGTATGCACATACATATACACATGTATGTAATTAATTTGTTGAGGAAACAAAAAAAATGCTTATTTTGAAAAATAAAAATCACATTTAAAAAAATTTTTTTTTGTACACATCTACTTTTTTACATAATTGTATTGTTATCTATGTTATTTAAGTAAAATTTTTTTGCAAAATAGTACTTATATTTTATCAGTTGAAGCACTTTAATAGATTTATATAGAATATGAATTGTATAAAGCCTAATATATATGTACATAGGTAATAATTAAATTTTTACACTTAAGATTGAATTATTATTGTACTTAACATTATTATTATGTATAAGGTTAAATTTGTAAAATATAAAATTTCCAAAATGCACTACAATACTAAATGCCGTGTTACTGACATTTTGGAAGTCAAGGTCTATATATTTTATTTACTAGTTTTATCCAGTACTTGTAGAAAATAATTACTTCAAAGTATGGTTATAGCGAGTAGTTTGCAAATAGATTGCTATTTAGTATTGAAACTGAACAATGTTAAACCGGAACAAATATGCGTAATTCCTTTGGACAACTATTTCTCAATATATGAACTAGTGTACCCCCATTATGCAGCTATAGAGTGTTATATAGGTTTTTTTTTTTTTTTTTTTTTTTTTTTTCCTTTTTCTACTCCCTTTGGGAGCATAGGGCATCTACAAAGCTTCGCCATCTGACTCTGTTTTGCGCCATTTCTTTTATTTCTGACCACGATTTTCGGGTGCCCCCCACTTCTTTGTTCACAGATCTGCGCCATGTCTCTTTTGGTCTGCCTACTTTCCTTTTACCCTGTGGGTTCCATTCAAGGGCCCTTCGCGGGATGTTACTTACTGGCCTTCGGAGTGTGTGACCTATCCAGCTCCACTTCTTTCTCTTGATCTGGGCGTACACTGGTTCCTGCCCCGTTAAATCCCATAGATCCTTGTTACTGATTGTTCTAGGCCAGAATATTCTGCATATTGTTCGCAGGCATCTATTTATGAAGGTCTGCACCCTATCTGTATAGCTCTTCTTAATCAGCCATGTTTCGCTGCCATACAGGAGCACCGATTTTACGCACGCGTCAAAGATTCTAATTTTGGTGCCCCTTGCCAAGTTTCGTTGCCTCCAAACCGCCCACAGTCTTCCGAATGCCATTCTAGCAAGTTTAAGTCTGTTCTCTATGTCTCTTTCAGCACCCCCATCTGTAGTAACTATACTACCCAGGTAGCAGAACTCGGAGACATCCTCTATGGTTTTGTTATTTATTTGAAGAGGCGTTGCTGTTCTCGCATTAATTCTTAGGCATTTCGTCTTGTTTATATTTATACGAAGACCAACTTCTGCGGCATTTTGTTCCAGGCTTCTTAATTTTTCTTGCATGTCGTTGTGTGTGTGTGTGATGAGAGCTATATCATCCGCATATTCTAGACTCTCCAATCTATCTGTGAGGTTCCACTTTATTCCTCTAGCAGTGCTTGTTGTTTTCTTCATCACCTCATCAAGCACCACATTGAACAGGAGGGGAGAGAGTGGACATCCCTGTCTGACTCCTGCTCGCAGCTCTATTGGGTCGCTCAAGCGCCCATGATGAAGCACTGCCAATTCCGCTTCCTCATATAGTGCCTTGATTAGGTTTATTATTTTCTGGGGAATTCCTCTAGCTGTCAGGGAGCGCCACAATGCTTTTCGGTCAATCGTGTCGAAGGCCCTTTCAAAGTCAACGAAGGCGACGTATAGCGGTGAGTTCCACTCAACTGACTGTTCTATTATTATTCTTAGCGTGTTAGTCTGGTCGATACAGCTTCGTCCCTTTCTGAAGCCCGCCTGTTCTTCCCTGAGGTCCGCTTCTATTTTACTTTCTAATCTTGTGTAGATTATGAGTGCTAGCACTTTGGCAACAGAGTTTAGTATTGTGATGCCTCGCCAATTTCGGCATTCTGATAGGTCACCCTTTTTTGGTATCTTTATTATGATGCCGCTTTTCCAGCCTCTAGGTATACTTTCTGTGCTCCATATTGTGTTCAGGATTGGAAGCATAGTGTCGGCTATTGTGTTAGCGCCTGCTTTCAGGAGTTCTGCTGGTATTCCATCGAGACCTTCTGCTTTGTTATTTTTCAGTTTTTGGATAGCATCAATTATTTCTCTTTTGCTTGGCAGGCCCTGATTTACTCTGTTGGTGTTGCCGCTGCCCTCCTGTGGACGCTGTTCTTGCTGATACTGCTGGTCGTCACTGTTGACCTCCCCGAAGTATTCCTGCCATCTCTGTAATTGTTCTTGTGTGGATGTGAGTGGCTATATGTGTGGATGTTATATAGGTTTAGGTACGCTTAATTATTTACTCTTACTAGATAAATTGTTTATCAAAGTGCTATACTAGTTCGAAAAAGAGTTTTGTACTGAAAATATTATTTCTAAAAAAATAATTATTAATTGTAAATTTAACCAATAATTCAATAATTTTATACCATTGAATATTTTAGTTAATTCATAAATTTTTTATCTTAATTTTTAATATGGTTATAACTTGCAATGCATTTAATTTTAAACTTTTCGAAAAATATTATACAAAAAAAAATCAAGTTTAAATATTTACTTAATTATTTAACTAAGTGTTGAAAAATTTTTTAAAAACTTTATACCCACATATGAATATTATCTATACAGTGACTATTAAAACGGTGTGACTGTTAAAAGAAAGTAATAATTTGTACTATATATATGTATGGTACACAATATTATCTGTACGTACATATAAATATGTATGTTTATTTATAATATTTTTATTATAGCTAATTACATTTTATCACAAATTTTTAGCAGAAACTTTAAGAGACATGTTATTACTCGTATTATCAATTTCGTCAATATTTGTGTATGGTTTAAAAAATTTTCATATACATATTATTTATAAAAATTAAGTTGTTATACATAAATTATAATGCAAAACATCTGTATTTAATTTATTTTTTACATTACATAAATTGGTGATTGCAATTTTTGTGTATTGAATTTATTACATTCAACATATATAAAACCATATGTACATGAATGTATAATATATAAATAATTGTTATACTATATAATTGAATAGAAATTTTTAAATAAGTATATATACATAATGTCAAACATATTCATAAACTTAAACCTTAAAAATGAATTTCACATGTTTACTGTATTGATTTAAAGTCAGATGATTTATTTAGCATTCTAAAATCAATATTTTATATGACACTTTCTTGATTTTTTTGGGATATTTGGGTACAATTATTGTTCTATTAATTATAAGTTGAACTTCATAGTGATTATTTAATTTTGTTTTCACAACTCTTTTTTATTTAAATTATTATATATTTTATTATTTCATTTTTATGTCTTTTATTAAGTACCAATTAAAATTTTAATATTAAATACTAAATTTTTATATTCTTTTAAATTTAATCATTTAAATTTTGAATTCTATTAAAATTTTCATAAATTAATTTCTAACAATTCATACATTTATGTATAGAATTAAATTTTTCTCTAACTTGAATTTTTTAACTAAATTTTTTTTTTAATAAAATATTTTAATTAATTTTATTCGACTGTTTTTTCAATTATTTTTAATTCAAAAATTTCAAATAAATATTAATAAAGAGTCTAAAGCACTCTTAAATCATAGTATACCGTTAAAGAAAACAGAAGTAATTAATTTATATTTTTTAAATTTATATTTTTTAATAATTGTTATTTGCATAAACATTTTGTAATGCCACTTTATAATATATATGCGATCATCTTATTTTAATTATTATTATTTTTTCTAAAATTATATTTACCATATAGAAAATTAATTATAATATTGAATGCCTATATAAGTGCATTAAAATTAAATGATCTATCTGTATAAGAACATTACATTTATATAGTTAGCGTGTTTCTATTACCTGTTAAGAGTACAATTAAAATCACAATTAAATTATTAATATAATTCATTTTTTTCATTCTTTTATTTTATTTATAATATTAACGATCAATGTCTATTATAATTATTATTTTTTTTTTTAATTTAAACGCTAAACTTATGAAAAGTTATCGCGATCACGATGTCTTATCGTATACTAAAAGTTCTACTGTTATTCTTAAAAAAATATATAGCGAAAAATATATTAAAAAATTGTTAACTCTATGCTTTTCTTATATATTTTTTCTTTTTTGTTTTTATATTTTATATTAAACATTAAATTTCTCGGATTTTTATATATAGTTATAAGTATATACAATGTTGTTTTAGCTATAATATTAAAAATATTCTATTTACAACTACTACTTGACACAATATATACATCAATAATTATATATATACTTTCAATATATTGTTTTGTATGTATGTACATATTCATATAATGTACATGCTATAAATTTAAATTAAATACACAAACGTATGAAAATTTTAGACCCGAAATTCCAAAACCTTTTTTTTTTGAATATGAAAAAAAAAGAGCGTATATAAGTACCCACTTTAAGTAAATAAATTATGCAAGAAATTTTGAGATTTATAATAACAACTTTTGCAAATATTGACTCGAATGTATAATTTTTGTTTTTAGTTCATATAATGTATGTATATATAATTAATTTATAACTACATTTATATTTGAAAATGAGTTTATAGGTGTTATGTTGAAGTGTTAACTTTAATTGTTTTAATATGTAAGTATATATACTTAAGTTTACAATTTATTAATATTAATAATTTGCATTTAGTTATGTGATGTTAAATTTTTTCTGTAATGAGCATGTATATATTTTAAGGACATTATTAGAATTGTGGTATTGAGTAATATTCACTTTGATCCGAGTTTATTATATTTTTATTATTATTTTATTTTTATGAATTTTCTTGTAATGTATACTTCGTTATACAATATATAATGTTTAAATGAACTTTAACTATAGTTATAATTATAAATAGTGTTAATAAGAACTTTACACCCACATCCCATATACAATTATTTATATTAAGTTCCTTAATCTGAATATAAGGAAAATTATTAATATAATAAAAAACGTAGAAATTTTAAATTCATTTCTAGTATTTGGGGATCATAATGCATACCAACACTTGTATATGCGTAGTAAATGAACCTAAAAATGTTATAGCCTATAAATTCCGGAAAATACTCCTTTACTTAATAAAATAATTGAAAAAAAGACATACTATCGCTACAATTTTACTACATATATAAGAATTTTATATTATTAATTTTCCGCTTCATTTAGAACAATTAAGGAAGTAGAAGAATCTCAAAAAAAAAGAAGAAAGTGGTTCTTATTGAAAGAACAAATCAGCTGTAATATTCAGTTTCCTGAATTTTCCACAATTCATTTAAAAGAAAATTAAAAAAATATATATTATATATTTTCATATACATATAGCAAAAATAAATGAACGGTAATAATAAATAAAACAAATTAATTACCTTTTTTTTTAAAATATAAAATAAGAATTATTTGTATATTAAAAATAGTTAAGTATAAAGTTTAGTATATAAAATTTTTACGTTTAAAACATGAATATATTTACATCGATAATTATTTGTATTAATTAATTTTAATTATCGTGTCGAAAAATGAAAAGTAAGTTCTAACTTCAATGGAATAGGCTGTTGATCTTAAATTTATTTAATTGTCAATTATGTTTTATTTATCGGAAAGTTTTACAAAAAGCAAAATTAATAAGAATAAATTGGTGTAATTACCATTACACCATTAATTTAATAATTTAATGATAATGTAATGACTAACCTTTTTATTAGAGTAAAATCAAAGACAATAAAAAATGTTTTAAATTCTTTGGTAAAATTGACTGGAATATAAGTATGTTCTATTATTTATTGATATAAGATTATGTATTATCTAGTTGTAGTACATATTATAAACTCTATATAACGCACATAGTAACTAAATAGTTATTTGAACATAGTATGTATTGGAAAGAATGAATTAAAATACTTACTATTTGCAACACATTTTTTTTTTTGTGAATTAAAATTAAGGATTTAAAAACACATTTTAAATTTTAATTATCCTTTTTTTTCAGTGAAATTCACTTGGAAATGAGGTTTTGTTTAGAAATAATTATAATATTCATGTTACTAAATTTATGTGCTCTTTTTTATATTATATAATATTATGTTTGCGTGTAAATACATACATACATTATGTTCTTATTTATGTGCTAACAAAATCGTTCAAAAATTTAAAATCAGAACGAATAACCGTGCACATGTATGTACTAACGTACATATATACATATTAGAATATAAAACGTGAAAACTTTGGAAGAATAAATTAAGATATTTCATTTCGTATTCAATTAGCGATTAGGTAATAATATTATTTACATTCATACATACATACATATGTATGTATGTACATGCAAAATTCCTTCATTATTTTAAAATAATATTCTAAAGAAGATTTTAGAAGATTTTATATCTCCATAATCTACATTTAATTATTTTGATTACCTACCCGTTTCGTTTTTTTTTTAGAGAAATTCTTATTTTGGAGATATTTTATTAAGAATTATTATTTAAAAGCAGTTAATCTATTTCTATAGCCATTTATTAATTGGTAATAAAATTATTTTGAAAAAATATTTCAAGGTCTTTATTAATGTTTATTCTATTCTAAACATCAATATGCAACATGAATTCGAGGACTGCTGTTACAGTAAAATATCGAATTCGAGTGAAATAATTTGAAATGCTAAACTTATATTAATATAGTACATAGTTGGTGCCTCTTGTAGTTTAAATTTTAGTAATTCTCAAAGTTGCATGTACGTTCGTACTTGTATAAATTTTAAAAATGTTTACTTTAGTACACGCGATCAACATCATTTGCTTGAGTTAGAAAAACCGAAAAATTTTCATTTTATTTTAGATAAACATTCAACTTTCAAAATTTTTGAAAGTTAACGTATTCATATTGGAACGTATTCATAAACGTTCACTCAACGTATGTTCGATTCGGAATTAGAAATTGAAGTCCATTTTGCGGTACATTTAAATCGATATTGTTAAATATAACTTAAGCATGTGCCAATTTTTATTCTTCGGCAACCGCATGTCACTTGATTTTAGGAATTTTCTTTATAAACGTCGAATAATGTTTTATATTCCGAAAAAATTTATTTTTACAATTTCTAAAGTATTGAACGTGAACATAAATTAAGTTATCATAGCTCTATCTGTTTCATTTTTTAAAAAAAAATAAACACGATAAGACCTGTAGAAATAGGCGACAATAATCGAATCAAGAGTATATTATGTAAATGGTTGAACTAAATCGGCAAACAAAGCCGATTTTGAAGGAAGATCGTTTTTGACACATGAATAGCCAAAGCATCACAGCTATTTACGGCGCCTTAGAAGTTTGTTTAACCTTATATTTTGAGTGTTGGTGGCCACACATTATGTAAACCGTCACAGAAATTTTTGACTGCCACCCAAAATTGAGAAACAAAGAAAAACGCGAATGACTGTGGTTACCAAAATTTCTTTGGTATTGATATTTTGCTTTCTAACATTCCAAAAGAAAAATAAAACAACATCAGTAAATTTTCGTGTTGTTACATAAAAAATGTTATCTAACAGGTTCTTTTTTTTAAGAAACTTTTTAAACGATACTCAAGTCTTTCAACGAACAAACCCTTTTTGGCAGAAATATAAAAAATTTAAGAAAAGTATACGGATATTTGTTTGTAAACAAATCCAACATTTAACCATCATAATTTTTTTCAAAATCTTACATATGTAGCTCTTTCTTTTCAAATAACTGCTTGAAATTTAAATACGTCAGTTTAAAATAATTTTCTGAACCTTTTCATATTTCAGTCAAATTCAAACTGTAACATGCCTACACTCTGTCATATAAAAATTTTGAATAACCTAATACATACCTACGTTAGTGGCCTTACTTAATTATGAAATTTTTGAATCACTTAGATTTTCAAAATTAATTTCAAAATTTTTATTAAATAATGTATATTATTGATAAAGATGGAAAGTTCTAGAGTTTCACCTGAAAAAATGTAAGAAACAGTTTTTCTTTTTAAATTTGAAATATTTAAATTGATAAAATTTAACAGATCTGGATTAATGCCAAATTTAACGTCTTCAGAAGACTTGCAAACCAATTCCTTTGCTGGAAGCCCTTATTTAAGTTTGCAACAAACTTATCTAGATTCAACTGGGTCTAATACATTTCGGTATGCTGCAGTAAAATTTCTGTTTTTGTTGAGTAAATTTTAAAAAACATCATTAAATTTTAAATTATTTTAATTAAAAATTTACATAAATTAAGTTTGTGCAGTTTAATGCAACTATTGTCATGTATAACTTAAAAATTTTAGATGCGAAGAAACTTCAAACAGTTCAAATATTAAATCATTTGATGAAATTTTACGTGACATTATTGAAACATCAAAATATCATGTGAATCAAACACAACATCAATCACAATTATCTTGCAACGAAACAACACATTATAGTTGTAGCAATGTAACTGAAGGTTTTCACGAATATCCATCATATTCGCAGCCTTTAAATTTGTATTCTTCTCAATATAGTTCTGCAGAAATTGGTAATTCGAAAGCATTTTCAAATATTAATCCGAATGATAACTACGAACGTTTGATAGACACGGTTCAAGAAGATAATGGTGGAAAAGAGAACTTCCAAATTAATATTGCAGAAGCAGACTCAACAGATGCATGCGATTATAGTAACTCAAATCATTTCGAAATATTACGAATGAAAAGAAATGAATTTTCACAACAAACTACTTTGCTACCCCCGTTCAATTATTTTCCAACGTCTTACATGAATTTACAACCCACAATGCAATATACTAACCAATACATAGAACCTCAATCATGTAATGTGCCTTCTAATATATCATCTTCGGAAATATCTCGTTATCCTTTTTCATATAGCAAAAATAAACCAAAAGTGTTTTCACCAAAAATCTTACCTTCTTGCGGTATCAGTGAAACAAATTTGTCAAATGGCGCAATAGTTAAAACCAAAAGGACTTTTTCAAACACAATGCCACCCCCATTTTCAGTATCAAATTCGTCCGCATTTAAAACATATCGGAAAAAAAGTCAAAAAAATATAGTTTCAAATGCAACTATAAATTCTATAGAATTACTAAGGGCACAACAAAGCAATGATAACAAAGAAACAATAGTGCTTCAACCAGCAAATGTTTTTATTGGTAATCTAGAGAAATTTTAATATGAAATAAAATATTTAATTTTTTGTAATAATAGAAAGAAAAACTTAAATTATTTAATAGTTTCACAGGAAAGCGTTCGTTCAGGTGAACCAGAATGGATAGTAGAAAAAATGTATGTAAGTCCGGATTTGCTGAGTGTAAAACCACCTTTGCAAACAGAAAATCTGCTTGAACAAGCAAAGGAAGCAGCTTCTGATATATTGTTCAATGTAGATTTTTCAAGTCTCGATACGAGTAACATTATAATACCAAATATTCAGATAAAGGGGCCCCTCCACAAAAACAGAAAGCAAGAGTTAAAAGTGTTGCAAGAATATGAGATAACTGATAATGAAAAAACATCGGTAAGTAGTGTACAAAATAAGACAATTGTTAACTACATATTTGCTTTACAAATCAAAGCAACCAATTACAAAAAATTAAAACTTTTTTAGGAAACCACTGTCTTGAATTCAACTGAATTAGGACAGAATCGTAATATTGAGAATAATTCTCAGATCGATTTGAAAACTACGCAGAACCTACCGGATCAAAACAATATTAGTAGTTTGCATTCGTTTGATGGTGGAGCAGTTTTTATTAATAACAAAGAGCTTAAAGAAAACGATCATTTAAATGATGGTGAAATTTCAGAAGATAGTGCACTTGAAAAAGACTCACTTCCCACCAAATCACTTAAATGTCACAGATGCAATAAAACTTTTAAATACAGGTACACATTGAAGCGACATAATAAAAACTATCATTTACCTTCAAGCCCAACTATATCTTTAAATGAAAGTCTTCGACACAGCGATACAATAGAATTAATAACTCCATCAGTAAATCATTTTTCTACAACTTCAGGAAATTTAATTGATGAAAAGGAAAAAATTGAAATCAGCAATAACTCTAAAAAACAAACAAACAACATTTCAAAAGGGAAACAAGAAAATTCAAAAAGTTCTGCTGAAAAACGTTTCAAAAAAGATATTTCTGAAACAATAAGCGATAAAAACACACTTAATAATAAAGAAAAAAACGATAACAAAAAAAAGAAACGTAAAAATTTATTTGATTTTGTAAATAATGAGGGTCAAACCGAAAAAAAGTACCGGAAAGAAGATGAAAAACGAGTAACCCGATCGCGTATGATATTATTTAAGGAATAAACGCATTCTGTGTAATTCAAATATTGAAGTGTTTTTATTATGAAGAAGTTATTAAGAAAATTAATGTTTTTAGTTGAAAAAAAAGTTTTGTACTTTTCTGAATAGAAGCTACAAACTTTCTTTAAATTGCTTTAAATGCTATTTCATTTTTGGCGAAAAATTTTTGTTTTATTTGAATGTATAATTTATTTAGTAGTAAATAGAATTTTAATTTTTACAATTATTGCTAAAAATTTTTTTTTCTAAATGTTTTATATATTTAGTTTATTATTTTAAAATTTGAAACAACAAAAAATAATGTTTGCAATTTTTGTAACCACAAGTTGATAAATTTATAAATTTAGAAGTTAAAATTTTCAGTTTATATTTATGGCATGAAGTTTTCTTTTGGTTATTTAATGTACTAATTCTCTGAATTGAAAAGATGTGCATGATTATGCACATACGTTATATTTTTTTTGATTTATGAATTATCTTAAATATATACATAATGAAGATCTATGTAAATGAATTAAAAGTTATTTGAAAATTAGTTAAAGTTTTTAATTTTATGTATTTTGTTTAAGTTGGTATCTGTTTTTGGCATCCTTGGCAGGTTGGTTTAAATATTAATGCTTTGAATTTTTCTTTGAATTCTCTTTCTCATTTAGAAATAGAAAAGGTAGGTGCATTTATAATAGGTAGGATTTTAGAGATTAAAAGGAGTGGATGTCCAAAACATTGCATATGGGCAGGTATGCACCTACATGCGTTATATGCAGCACTATATCGGTTTTAAATATATGTAGGGACTACATTATGTATTACACACACACATTATTTTAATGTCAATATAATGTGTGTACACATCTTCTTTCAGAAATTAACATTTCCAAATTTTCAAATATTTCAACACTTAATTTGTATGTTGGTATTTAACTTAAAGTAAAACAATTGGTAAATGTTCTTTGAATTTAATTTAAATGAACTGAATTGTATTATCGTATATAGCATTAAATTACATTGAATAATTAAGATATAGATAACAACATTGATATATCTAATGGAATTGGATAAAATTAATGAGTGCCGAAAGCCAATCTATTGCAAGTAAATTAACCACGTGAGGCTATTACATCATCTGGGCTAAACATACCCTGAAAATATTTGAAAATTTGAGTAAGCAAATTCGAATAAAATGTCAAGCAATGAACCTTAGCACGCCTCAAGATTGAATCTTTGGAAGCATCATATGGATGGTCTTTCGAAGGAATCTCTAACACAGCTGGAATGGGTGCTGTATGTGCATCAATAACGTGACGAATTAATTCAGCATAATTTTGATTTATAAGAATGATATCGATGTCATCTCTTTTCAAAAAACGTTTAAAACAATCTTCAATTTCGCTGACTGCCGTATCTAAAAATAATTTTCTTTCTTTAAATGTCCATTCATAAATTTTCTTTAATTACTTTTGTCGACGACCATGAAATTTGGATGTCGGTTTTTGTTTATTTCTCCTACTCCTCCAAGAAGAAATCCAACACAGGTATCCTATGAAGTGATACTTGAAAAGTTTTTTATATTAAATAATTTTAAATACACTACCTCATCACCAATTACTGATAAAAGTTTACCCCGAGCTGCTGAATGTAAAGCCATATTTCTGTTATTATATTTGTATTACTTTATTGCGAAGCGAATTTCAAAATAATTTTCGTATAAAATATTTTGTCACCTGACTATGACATTTTATTATTAGTGCATATTTGCAAAAGTAAAAAAAACCTGTCATTTATTGAGTTTCTCAAAAATTTATTTTTTATTTATTCCCTAGCGGGGAGTAGAAGAGTTCAGACACATGTTACGAAACACTACTAAGAATATAGATTATTCTTTGATTGAAAAACTTTTCAGTATTGTCGAAAACAAAGTTTTGAAATCGCCTGAAAACTACACTTAAATCAAAAACCAAACGTTTTGAAGTTTTGTTTTTGTGAAATAATAGCAATTTTTTTTTACAGTTCGGGCTACAAATTTCAATAGTTTTTATAAGATATCTAATTTTAACTCAATTGTCATAATGAAAAGTTGTATAAGCTTTGTGTCGTATAATTTTTTAGCAAGAATTTTTTGACAAGTTGTATTAGATTTAACATATACTTTGACGTTGTCAAAAAATGACTGTAATATTTAAGTTATTTTCCAGTTTCTAACTGCAATTTCAAGATATTTTCTAACTTCTGACTCGCGAAGAGAGCTATAAAAAGCCATATTGTTACTATCCTTAAAATCGTAAGAGAGTAGACTTTTTGCTAATACGTTAAATCAAATCGTTCGAATATTGTCAAACAAAGCCACTGGCAATTTAATACAATAAAAATAAATTATGGCAAAAAGACTACTTGCAGTGTAAAACTTAAAAAATTTAAAAAGTGAAATACTAAAACTACTTTATTAGAATGCATCGAAATTGTTGTGAGGTAAATTATGGAATAAAAGCAGAAAAAGAGATTTTCTTCTGTTTTTATTTCAAGATATTTAATTAATTTTAATTAAACATAGAAGGAAACAATTTACAGAAATATTTAAAACAAAGTAAAAGGCGGTTAAAAACTATAAGCCGAAAGGATATTAAAATCGCAAATTTAAAGGATATAATTATATTCTTACACTCCAAAAATGGATTTAAGCAACGATAGAAATACTAAAGGAAAGAGCATCTTGAAAAACGAAAGAACCCAAATTTTTTCTAGTTGTCTTTTTTTTGCTCCGAGTGTTGTCAAAGTCGTAAGAGAAGCGTATTTATTTTATATTCTTATCTGGCCTCTACTATAAAGTAAATATGTGTAATTTGTAAGAAGGATAAGTTAAAATTTTTTTTTAAAAGTAAAAACTAAAAAATATTTCAAAATATTTTTTCATTTTAAATATCTGTTAAAAAATCAAATTTAAACAAAACTCATTATTTTTTTTCTCTTTGAATAAATTTATTTTATGAATTTAAAAATTAAAAGTTTTGTTAAAATATTTGAAATGCAAAAGAAAACTTTCTTTTATTCGGAATAAAATACTTTTTTTTTTTTTATTTTTCGCTAATATATTTCGCTAATTTTCTTCTCAGAAGAAAATCAGCTTTGATAAAGTGTGTATGTAGCGCACGAAATATATTAGCGAAAAATAAAAAAAAAAAGTATTTTATTCCGAATAAAAGAAAGTTTTCTTTTCATACCAATAAAAAAAAAAAAAGAATTATATTTCGGAAAAATTGTCAACCAATAAAAAAAAAATTTTTTTTGAAATGCAAACTTCTTAATTGATTATTCTAATCCACTTCTTTTCCTTTCATTACTTTTAGGAAAACTGTAATTATATAAAAAAAAATTAATTTAAAACAAAACGAAAACAGATATTTTCTTTGCAAAACTAAAAACTTTTTAATAAGTTTTTATAAAATAGTATTCTTTTTTTAACATTTATTATTAAATATTTTATAATTTGCAATAATTAAGTAAAAAAACTACATTTGGCATTTGATGTTAATTTCAGTTTGACAATGCTCGGAGCAAATAAAGAGACTTACCTGAAATTTGTGGCTTCACTATGTTTTTTTTCAAGATTTTTTAGGAGGTAGAAACAAAGACGCTTCTTCCTTTAGTATTTGTGTTGTTGGAATCTAATGCCAATCTATTAATCTTGTGCGTGCATCTATGGATACGACTGACTAATAGCGCGGCTGACAGAGAAACCTTTGGTATGTCATGTCAATCAAGGTTTATAGACACGATTTGATTTGTTTACCAATAAACTTTTTAGTTTTTACTTTTCAGTTATTTTTCCATTACATATACTACTAGTGAAGAAATAAACTTAAAATATAAACTATTATAAATAATTTTAACTTGAAGGAACAAAAAGTCATTAAAATGAATCCATTAACGTAAGGCAATTTAATTTTAATTTAAATTAACTTATTTCAAAAATCGTCTTATATTTCATAGGAATATGAAAAATGTGTTGAAGTTAAGTGAGAATGAATTAAAATCTAATTCTAAAACATCTTGGCATGATATGTACAAGGACTCCGCTTGGATTTTTGTTGGAGGCTTACCATACGATTTGACAGAAGGTAATTTTTCGAGAAACAAATACCTAAATTTTAATATATGTATAATATTTTTAGGGGACATTATTTGTGTTTTTTCACAATATGGAGAAATTGTTAATATAAACTTAGTACGAGATAAGAAAACTGGGAAATCAAAAGGATTTTGTTTCATTTGTTTCGAAGATCAACGCTCTACTGTACTTTCGGTAGATAATTTAAATGGAATTAAGGTAAATATGTACTTTATTATATACAATTTAAATTAAACCGACTCCAGTTTTTTTAAGTGACTTAAAATTATAAATTGTTTTAGATTTTAGGGCGAACCTTAAGAGTCGATCATGTCGCTGAGTATAAAGTTCCAAAAGATGATGACAAGATAGATGAAGAAACTCGCCAGCTTCGATTAGAAGGTTGTGCGCCAAAATTACAAATACCATCAGACCTTATTAAGGAAGAAAAATCCAGTATCCCAGAAAGCGAAGGAGGGATTAAATTACCAGAAAGATTACCGATAGGAAATATTAGTGAAATGATAAAAATGAAGAAAGAGAAAAAGTCAAAGAAATCTAAGAAAGTAAAAAAGGAAAAAAAGGCAAGCAAAAAGCGTAAACATAAAAAAAAGAGCTCAGAGTCTGATTCTGGTGATAGTTCAACTAGTAGTGAAAAAAATGAACGGCGAAAGAAAAAACGTCGTAGGAGAAGTTATTCGAATAGCACTGATAGTGACTAGTAGTGATAATAGTGAATAAGAATATCAGTATAGGAATAAAGAATTTTAAAGTCTAAGTAATTTGTACATATTTTTTATTGTTGTCGTTTATTTCACTATATTTAACTTGCTTTTAAATTGGCTTTCTATTTAAGGACTTTCTATATTTCAAAAATTTGAAGATTGATTGGAATAAGGCTCCTTTTTTAATAAGATTGATATATTTTGGTGGTCCTTAAAACAGGCACCCAGTTTACTTTATCTGCAATATATCTCTAGTTATAAAGAAAAAATTGGCAATTTGAGGCTTTATAATTCAAGAAGTTTTTTGCTTATCTGGACCCATTCTAACGTCCTGCTTCGGGTTTATCATCTCTGGTATTTAAGATCTTAATAAGGTCGAAGCGTTTAACCCAATTTCTTAATTGGTCAAGCGTAATGTAATTACCAAGCTAAGTATTTGAAAAGATTTAGTTCAACATTTTCTAAAAAAAGATTAGGATTTGATACTGAAAGCAGTAGAAAATGAAGAATTTGGGTTTGAAGGTTTCTTATACATATTTATGTAAAAGTTAAAAGAGATCATTTTTAAATTTTTATAAATTTTGTTAACTAAACTAAAAAAATGTTGATTTTTGGTTAAATTAATTTAAGAAAACCTATCCAGAATTTTACATAGATACAAGGAAAGATTATGAATCATAAGCAAAAATCGGTATTCATATTTTTGAAGAGTTTTTGCGGCCAAAACGATTTCAGCTAGAAATAGTTTAATTTGAACTTTAACAACCAGTTTGGAAAAAATACACTACAAAATTTTTCGTTTGAATAAGGATTTGGCTTTGAATAAGGAAACAATTTGGTTTCATTGTAAAATTAATTTTTTTTTTATTAATTTTTCTTATTTTTTTTTTTTGCAACAATTTCATATTTCATAAAACATTTTTTTTTTTCACATAACATTATTTTTATTTATTATTTTTGTGTGTTTTTTGTTTTTGTTTAATTTTAATTTTAATTTTCTTAAACTTTTGTCGATTACTTTTAAATTCTTATTTTTAAAATTAATATTTTTTTTTTAATTTTCGTATTTTTTTTTTTGTTAGTTTAATCATTTTATTTTGTTTTTTTAAGAAATTTTTAACATACATTTTATTTTTCTTCTTTTTCTTCTATATTAATAATAATACCTTTTATTTACTCAATAATTATTTATGTATAATAATTTTCTAAAATATAAATAATAAAATGTTTGAGAATTAGGATTTTTTATATAATAATATGGAGAAATTAATTAAATTAATTTTAAAATAATGTGAAAAAAAAACTGTGGTAAAAAATTTTTTTTTGTTTTGTAATTGTTTTGTTTCTTCATCTCTATATTTTGATAATAACAATATTGCTAAATAATTAATAAAAACAACTTGTAATTTAATAATTGATTCATTTTTTTTTTAAATTTATTTACATAAAGTTTATCGCTATTAATGTTTTTCTTTATTTAAGAAAAAGTTTAGCTATTATACATACATATATACTAAATAAGGTTATTTTATTATAAATATATTTTTATATAATATTTATTTTTTTTTTATTTTTTCATTTTATTAATAAAATTTTTTCATTATTAAATATTCAACTACGTACTTAAATTGTTAAAAATGAACGATATATAATATAATATATAAATATATTTATATATATATATATAATTAAATATATTATGTTCAAATGTTATTATTCAATGTTTTTTTTTTTAATAAATTGCGAATAAATCATAAAAATCAAAGTTTTTTAAAAATTGTATGTTAATGATTTCATTGCGCAATTGTATACGGGAATAAATTAATAAAATATATAGGTTAAATAATTAACATTTAATTATAGGTAGATGTACACACATTAGATAGTTATGTATGCGCCGAATTATAATTTTATTTTTTAATTATTAGAAATAGGGAAGGCCGTTATACACATAATTAATAAATTTTGTTCTTAAAATTGCGGTAGACTTTTAAATTTATTTTGTTATAAACTTACATTCTTGCAGGTATAACAGTTTGGATGTGTTTATTCAAAGCATACGATAGTTAAGAATATTTGAATTTGAATTTTTTCGTACCTAGCAATTTGTGTTTTTCGTCTTTATTTTTTAAGTACATGATATCTTTGAGTTTTTACTCATTCAATTACTCATCTGAGGAAAGTAATAGTCTTTGATTAATTTAAATTTTTTTTCAAAAAAGGAAATGTCATTGTTGGAAAATCTGAGTTTTGTTGGAAGTCGTGAATACAAGTAATTAGTTTATTTACCATTTTATGTATGTAGGTATTTTATATATGTAGGTATGTATGTTGAATATCTATTTTCAATTGTATTTAAGTAAAAAATTAAATTATATTTTATTTCAAATGGTAAACTTTAATTTTTATGATTTTATACAATTGGATATTTTAATGAATTTTCTATTAAGAGAATGTGAAATTTTAAATTAATATTTTTAATTTATTTTTTAATTTTTCAAATTTAATATTTTAAATTTTAGTTGTTTGTATTTTACTTTAATATTTTTTTGTTATACTTTAATATGTATATTGTGTTTTCCATCACTTTATTTAGGTATTTACAAGATTTTTCATTTTTGCTTTTTTTTTATTATTTTATTAATGAAATTAACCAATTTGTAAGTTTTAATTTAATTTATAAATTTTTTCTATTATTTTTAGTTTTGGATATTATTTTTATTTTTTTTTGTTATTTTTTGAAATTTTATATGTAATATGATTTTTTTTTTAATAAATTTTATTTAAAAAAAAAATCAAATTTTTCCTAATTGTTTTCTTTTTTGTGGTTTTGGTTTTATTTAATTTATTTATTTTTTTTTACTTATAAATTATGTTAACTTTCTATTTCTTGTTTATTTAATTTTTAATTCTTCTAGCTTATAAATGTAAAATATAAATCTATATTTTTTTTATTCTTCAATTTTAATGTTTAAATAATTTTTTTTTTTGTGGCTTTTTTTGTTTAATTTTGTAACCTAATTAGTAATGTAATTAATATTATTTTATTGTTATTCAATTATAATTTATTAATTTTTTTACATATATATGGCTATATATACATATATATGTATATATATATATATATATATATATATATGTATATATATATATATTATATGTATATATAGAAATTTATATATTATTGTTTTTAGGTTTTCATTTTGCTTCTCTAATGGCAGTTGAGTATTTAAATTTATTTTTGGTTTTAATTTTTTTTTTTTGAAGATTTTTATTCAATTTTTTGTTTTTTCTTATATTTTAATTAAATTTTTTTTTGAAACAGTATACAGAAATTTGGAAAGATAAACTTGAAACGTTTTTTTTTGTGAGATTGTTCATAGTTTATTGTTTTTTTTTTCAATTTCTTTTACATTATAAATTTTTTTAATTACATAAAATGTAAATTTTTTTTTCATCTGCTATAGGATTTGATTTTTTTTTTTTAAAATATTTGAAATTTATATATATAAGTAGGTATATGGATATTTTTAAATGCTTTTAAAATATACAAATAAAATAAATAATTGAGTAAAAATTATTTTATGCTAAGAATATTTACAGAATATATTTATATACATATTATAAATGTATATTTATTTATATATATATATGTATATATATTTTTAATTACTCGTATTATGTAAATATTATTTATTTATTAAGCATGTGTACATATTGAAGAAAGTAACAGAAAATTTAAGAAATATTCATTTAAAATGAGTTAAAAAATATTTTCCATGTGTAAATGATTGATAAAATGTAGTTGTTTCACAAGTAGAGATTTTAAAAATTCAAGTATCTAAAATTAAGAAGAAATATGTGTAATAAAACATCATATTAAAAACAACGAAAAATTGATAAATTGACTAATTAAATACATACTAGTAAAGCCAGCGATATTTTTAACTTCACAATGCTTCATTTTTCAAAATGAAAAAAAAAAATTAAACAGGACGAAAGCATATTATTTGAAATTAAATTATTTGTTCAGAACATTTTTTGAACTCTGTTTATTTTAAGTAGATTTGTTCTAAGTAAAAGGCATACAGTATTACAAAAAATAAAGGATCGTTTTTTGAAAAATCTTTATACGAAAATTTATAAATATTTTCTTCAATTTGCGCCTCATTTAATTGAAATTTGCATTGACTTTTTAATTTTTTTTTTAATTGCAAAAATATGCTTAATTAAGGGTTTTCTTGAATATTAAATCTCTACTTGCACTATATAAAATGTATATAATGAATATTATATTAAGATTGATAGATTTTTAAAATTGTTATATTTAAATAAATATGCGATTTTGATTTTGAATATTTATTATTTTTGCAGAAAGAATAACTTTTATTAATTCTGTTTGTTTTTTTAGAAAGAAGGAAATCCTTCAAAAAAAAAAAATACATTGTTTCGTTTGATTATGTTTGTTTTAAAAAACAAAATATCCTATAATATGGATTTGAAACCTGAAATTCCAAAAGTGTTTTAATATTCATATATAATATGAGAATATCAGCTAGAAATAAATTATATTGAAATATTAACTTACGGTTTTCAGTTATACAAAAAAATCCTTTTCCAGAAACTAAACATTTATGTATATGGGTATGTATTATATATATTATCAATAGTATTGTGTTAAAATTCTTTGTATTAAATTCATTAAATACTTACGTATTTAATTTACCTAAATATTAAATGCATATAATTATATAATTTTTTTTGAAATAAATTTACTATTTTTTTATAATATTTAAATTATAATTTTTTAATACTAAAAATTTACTAAAAACAAAAGGTTATTTTAATATACAAAAATATTCTGTTCGGGACATTAATTGACTTAATTATATATTGAATTTATATACAATTAATGTAATTAAAAATATTTTATATATATAGTATATTTCTCAATTATTTATTTGTGAGACAGAATCATAATTAAAATTTCAATACTTAAAATGAAAATTAATTAATTTTTCAAAAATGATTTTT